TGCTATTAGAAGTAGGCAGTTGTAACTGCATGGACATTTTAAATGTAGAGGCAGTGAGTGGAAAGCAATCAATCCTGGCTTCAACACAAATAAGATCTCCAACTGTGCTTATATAGATTGTCCTCTGTACGAGTCTACATATATGGAATGGTGTTGCACAATCTATGACCCTGAACAGTCCTATTTTACCATGTTCTCCTTGCAGAAAAACTAACCCTCTGCAGGAGCAGTTCGACTTTGGGTCTGTGCATCAGGGAAGGACATACTTGTTCATGCTTCCTGGTTTGAATTGGAAATGGTACATGGCTTACCTTAGCCAATTGCAACCAACGAGCACAGCACAACTAGCAAACATTGAGCATTCACGAGCACACACTATACAAACAACTGAAGAGTTAAACACATTTAGCATATTTCATTAGCACACAGAGGAAATTGTCTTTTCACAAACATTTTACAACTCACTGAAGGCTAGGTTTCTTGACTAAACTCTTCCTTGCAAATTCTCACCAACATTTAGCAGTCATCGCCATTAGTTACTGTTTTGAGGGAGAATAAGTAGACATTCCACAACCAGCAGGTTTTTTTCTCCACTCTTCCTTAAAGCTCCCACTTTGATCGTTAACTTACTGGAGATATGCTAGCAGGATGTAAGCTTTGCATCCTTATAGCAGTTTCATTTAGAAACCTTTTATCTTCGTAGCTAGAGGATTCAAAATCTTTGATGCGTATTTGCAGCTGTATCAGTTAAGTAGTCGGTTCAGACTCATAGGAGAAGGCACTGTCTGTGTTAAGGATCTGTATCAGTATATAACCTTACTGATTATACCATCTCCAGTGAAAGCTATCTTCATCTCATCAGTCCTTTCAGCATTCCTGTAGAAAACCCCTGTGAGGATAAAGCCATGCTCAACATGCATATCAGTGGCAGGGTCTCATTCTTAGGAGATAATTCTTCCCTATCAGCTAGCCAAAAGGGGCCTGAAGTTGGATGGCTAATTCCTTTTCTAGCAAAGAAGCAATTAGATATAGCATTCAGCTGTGGCACCTCATGGAGCCAAGTCTTTCGTGACAGCAGAGTTTTCTGTGTGGAATTTAGGATTTTAGAATTGTGTATGTACTCACTCAGCTGAAGGACTGAAGTGAACAGGGAGTCCAGTAGCACATTAGTAACTTTGAAAGTTAAGATTCACTAAGCCTCTGGCCACTTAATGATACGAAGTTGCACATGTGAATATGAAGTAATAAATACATAGGGAAAAATGTGCAACTGGAACCTTACAACTAATCCTTGCTTATTCTCTCTGCAAAATTCTACTTCAGCATGATTTATATATACATCCACTGCAAAGAACTGGTCTGGGTCTCTGACTTTTTAATCTAAAACAATGACAAGAGAGATACTCAACAGTGGGAATATTTACACTACTATTATCACCATTTATACTAAATAGACCTTTTCAGAATTTCCTGGCTCAAGTTTTGATAATTCATTTTTAGTTTGGTTAACTAAGATCGAACTAACCAGTGTTTAAAAAAAACCCCAAAAAAACCCAAACCCTAAGGAATTCAACATTTGGGAGAAACCCTACAATGGCTTACAAGAACCTTCTCTCAATATGTCATTTCTCTTAATTACATCAAATGTTAGTTTAAATTGAGTATGAAAAACAGCTTAGCTGAGCACTTTACAAAGACAACACTACAGTTTATGAACTATACACACACACATACAAATTAAATTAGATTTTTTAAAAGCCTATTAACACCACTCTTGAATAGTGTTTCTCTGCCTTCCTCTTCCCCAGGAAAGCTTTGCTTGGCACCCTTCCCTTTCTTGGCCTTTCTCCACTGTTTCTGTATTTAACCATACCTTCTCCTTCCTGATTTTTGAATGGTCCTCACAGTGGGGAATATTTCTGCAAACCAGTGCAGAGGCAGCTTCCTACAGTTGTGCTGGGAAGCCACAGACATCATCAAAAGTTGCTCATGTGCTTTAAAGTTAGAGCTGTAATTGTTGGGAATTGGCATTCAAGAGTCCCATGAAGTCTGACAAACAGCACCTTCAGTTTTTAGCAAGAGTCTGTATCTTGGTCATTTATGATGCCTCTACCACCATTTTTGCATTTCAAGCTTGTGCTAGGTAATGCTTTCTTGAGTATCATAGTTTTCCTTCTGGCTTTCATATTGAGGCCATCCTGGTTGCATGGAAAACCTCATTAGGAAAATATTAAAATCCAGAAAAGATGACCATCCAGTCCTATTTATTTTCTGCAGGCAATGTTTTTAGACTTGGATCATAAAACTAATCTCAAAAACCCCGTGTTTGCTTGGCTAAGTTGAAATAAGATGTCTTAGATGAGTACTTGTAGGTACCACTCTCTTCAATGTGAGTAGCAGATACTACCTCAGAAAGTTATATCTGATTGTGGATTTTGCCATCCAACTTTAGGTGCTCAGATTGAGAATTTTGGCCCTAACATTTGCTGTAACCTTAGGTTTGGGTCCAATCCACCTGACTGTGTCCCTCTAAGCAGGAGCTTCCCCATAGCTGCATTCCCTGATTCTGAGATGTTTTAGGATGCTTTTCATATACTACAGTTTCTGAAGGTCAGTGCGTACACATTTTAAGACATGGTGATAAGACAGTGTATGGAACTACTTGGCAGTATTTAGCTGGTACAGTTTCTTGTGGAAACAACAGAATTCCAAAACACACCACACTGAATGCTTATGGGTTATTACAAGCAAAAATCCCAAGACACCGGGAATTAAAAAGCGGATTTCAACAAAGGAATACTGATATCATTGGTTGATATGAACAAAGTTGTGCCAAGTCTTCCTTCTCTGGTTTTTCAAGTGGAGAAATAAACTGGGAAAGGAAGCAGAAGGGAAAAAAAGACATAAACCAACAGTTATTACAGAGTTACTGTTGTGCTTTATCTCACAGAAGTGTGTGCTGTCACAGAATGGCAACACCTTTAGCAGATCTTTGCTATAGCATATAGTATGCCTTCCTAGCTGGAATGGGGATACTCCTGTGGCAAAAGGAATTTGGAGGGGGAACTGGAGTGGAAAGCAGGGGAGACTGCAGCTCAAACAACGACTGATGGTGATGTTAGCTCCAGCAATACCTACAGTTCCACATGTTGTAACTCTTCCTTCAGCAGGATCCAGGGCCCCACTACCAGAACAGTAGGAAGCCTGGCTTCGGACATTTCACCACCCATGGTAGCTTGTTGCTGTGAGGAACTACCCAATTTATTATTATAGCCACCCCTAGAAGGCATGGTCTTGTTCCCATTCAAATCAGTGACTGGAGATGCCATGCAAGGCCTTGTCTGGGTCAGCACTTGTTTGCTCGATGTCAACAGGATTTAAACATATGCTTGAGAGCTATTGTAAATAAATATGTCATTGAGTTCAATACACAGGGTCCTTCCTGAAGCTGCAACCTTCAAGTGCCACTACAGAAGCATCTGAAATAAATAGAGTAGACTGAAAAAATGAGATCCAGATGCATTTAAATCTCACTAAACTTGCACTAGATCTCACCATGGTGAGCCATGGCCTGGGTTTGATGATGTGACACTCAAGTTTTATACCCTGATGACACTCAAGGTAAATATCCTGAACCCAGCCTAAGCCATGTCAATCCTGCTATGTCTGTTTCTAAACTTCCCAGGACAGGCATCCAACTTTTAAAACTAGGAAGGAGACAATGTTATTAGTGATATATAATTTCAGTCTTAACTTCTAAAGAGAAATTCTGAGTTATCTTGTTTGCTGTTTACTTTCTTGTTAAGATACACATAGTGCTCAATGACACATACGTACACAGCAATCAGTTCAATGGCTGCACATCTGTCTTCCCAGGCTGCTACACTAGACCGCAGAACAAAGGCCCATCTTTCCCTTGAAGCCAGCTGCCTTGAGTACCCAGTTAATATAGTTAATTAATATCTAGCCATTTCCCATTCTTGCTGTATCAGTGTTACGAAACCCTAGAATTATTCTGGGTCACTCTGGTGCCAGCATTCATAAGACTAATAAACTGCCACATGTACCTAAATCCTTTTAGTCATGTTTACAGGTGATTCTGTAAGCCTTCTTTATAGAAGCTACAGAGGAAAATGGAAACATGCTGAATACAAGGCATGTAATTTGAGAGCTGGGAATTAATTCACATCCACAGTTTAGCCTCCTGGTGAATCTCTTCTGGGTTACTAGCTGGATTGTCTAACTCAAGAAATCTCCCTTTTAGGAGTTAATGCCATATTACAGTTATGTCACATAACAGCTGTTGCTAACACAGAGGTTACATAAAGAAAATATTCAGTTCCTGTCATTACAAGATCCCTGGGTCCCAACCAGCATGACTGCTATTATTCATTCATATGCTATCTTTCCTATAACCAACATGTGGAATGGGATGGTCTTTCAAGACAAGAAATCAGGAAGACTTTGGGCCATCTTTTAGCAGTATTTAGGTATTCAAGGTGCAAAGTGATTTTCAGAAGCACCAGCATCTCAAGTTCCCGCTGATTTGGTAGGAATTAGGCACCTACATGCTTGTAAAAAAATTCATCAGATGCCCATTTGCCTGTGGGTCTTCACCCTCTTTTTGTAGGTGTGAGGTAACTCAAGCATTACTGTTCTCACTAGAAAACACCAGGACTGTGGCACTGGTTGTAATGAAAGGAAGGTATCTGAAACCGCATAAAAAATTGTATTATCATGAAAAGGGAGAGTCTTTAATCCTAGGGAAAGTTATGTAACATGCTAATGTAAAATACATTAAATGTCAATAAACTCCACCTATAGTTCTAGAGAGTTTGCAGTAATTCTCACTGTAACAACATGACACTAGAGGGGAATTTCACAGATCTGTCACTTTAAATATTTTATATCAACTTTTTATGTCTTTTTAAAATATATCAGCACTTCACATGTCACAGAGCTATTGAGATCATAAACAAAAGAGAAAATGAGCTACTCACTTATAATTATAATGAGAATGACTGCGCATACTACACCAAGGATGATCATCATCTATAAAAAGAAAGTTGCAAGAAAAAGGAAAAAGAGAAAGTCAGGTTTTCACATGAAAGACATTAACCCCTCTGATTTTTTGCTTTTACTTAGTGGGTCATTCCTTGCGCTTTTAATTCTTGCAAAGAATCGCTGAAACAGAACTGTTAAGGCCCCAAATTTAGGGTAAATGTCAGGAACAGCTGACCACCAGCAATGGACATAAGCCTCTTGTCTGAGCTTGTCCATCAGCTAAGATGCAGTGACCAACCTCGTCCATTTCAAAGTAAACTTCTGAAGTAGAAGAACTCCAGAGGTGATTTAAGTGGCTGGATCCACGCATGGCCATATAACCCTTTATATTAGAGTAACTTGGTCACTTTTCACCACATTCCCATACGCAGGGAAGAGGCAGGTGGAAGATGTCTAATGCCTAGTAGCTATTTGTGCTGGCTTTGTGTACCTGTGCTGTTGAGAGAGGTAGTTCAGGCTCGCCAGCACAGTTTCCAGCATGTTAGCCTGGAAATAGCTCATTGCAAAGTTGAGATTTGTTCCCACAGGAGCAGATACATCAGAGCCAGCTGCACACAGACCATACCAGCACTGAGTTCTGTGGGGTATAAAACATACTGAATGCTAATGAGGCCATGAGAGATGCTGCAGTCCAGTTCCCATCATTACCCCAGTGAGAATGGAATGATTGAAAAACAACAAACATGGAATATGTCAGATCAAGGCCTTCATTCCTCACTGTGTGTGTCTGGAGGACAGGGCCAGCCATTGGCTTGCAGGAGATTTATTTTTCCCCCTCCTTGCAGATTTTGTGACCCAGAGGAAGGACAAGGGTACTCTGTTTGTCAAGGTAAAGTGGGAAGGGACAATGACAAAAGGAAAATGAGGGTAGCTTTGAAAGTCTAGCGTAGTGTAGGTCATTGTGGTGACTGCAGTCAGCATCAGTGAACCTAACTCAAAGTCTGTGTTTTTAGCTCACAAAAGCTCTGCTTCCTGTACTGTGAGACAAAGCAACTGGGCAACAGCTAGAAGATGCCCAGAGGAACTACTCAGTTGAACTTCTAACCTACAGCCACTTATTTCTGGTGTGTTTTGTGCATGTAGTTAACACAGAATACTTTGTCTTGGTTTACATTTCACAGCACTGTGGATTGAAGAGACAAAGCAGGCAACAGGCTCGTGAGGGATACATGTGGGATTCTCCTTTGGGAACTGGTGGTTTTGTTTGCATGGACATGAATGGTCAGCAGCAAAGTTGCTATTGAAGATAAATGGAAATGTAGGTGAATTTTTGGCCTAGCATTCATGTTGGTGGTACACAAGTAGAAAGAAGCAAGAATATGGGGTCTTGTGTGAGTAAGAGGAGCTAAAGTTTCCAGGTCTAGGAAACACAAATCCTGAAAAACCAAAGGAGAGTGAAGTTCCCTCTGCTCGCAGGGAAAAATGAAACTTTGAAGACAGCAGAGGAGACAGCTGGTTGATTAAAGTCCTGCTCTATCCTAACCTGCCCCTTTTCAAAAGGGACTGTAATTTCCTCAATTCTCACAGCAGTTTGTGAAACTAACTCATTTTTTTGTAGTTTACCATCTTAAAGAAAGATCAAGAGGCTGATGATCTCCCAGAAGGAAAAAGCTTCTTTTCTTTCACTACCAGAATACACTGTATCTGTTTGGGTTTTGCAGTTCACACAGGAAGCTGACATGAATTAACATAGAATGCTCTCCCATCCCTGCTTGCAGGCACTGACTGAAGCATCTGAATTTGTATCTACATTTTATATACAGCAGAAATTATCAAAATAGTCAGTTCTGTTAAAGATCAAAGTTGCCTGACTTATTCTCCTAGAGCCTAAAGGGCAAGGCATCTCTTCCTGCCCTGTACAAGAGACCACTTAGAAATGCCATCCTGGAAGCAGAGCCCCATTAAATGCAAGTGAAAGTAATATATGCCATTAAGTGATTTTTAACAAGATTTTCTATTCCTTACCTTGCAATTTTTCCACCAGTATTTTCTCTTCAGTTTGGCTGCGCTAGTTTCAAACTGTGAGGCACCTGCTTGCAATGCATCTGCTCGGTTGTCAAGCTCTGATAGCATCTGGTCTCTTTCTAGCACCTTGTCCACGTTCATTCTGATGATGTCTACCACCTGCAAAGGCACAGCCTCATGTTACATTTCACACACAGTAAAGCTGAAGGTCACCCTTATGTTCACACTCTGTAATGTCACATACGATACTGAAACCAGCCATTTACCATTATGGCATGTGATGGCAGTTACCTGGACAGTGCCTCAAAAACCATACCTATGGAAATCAGACACAGTGAGAACAAAATAAACACAGCTAGACTGCGCTCAGATGCTTTTAAAGATAAAAAATAAAGGGACATTATGAAATAGTGTAATTAGTTTCATTAAAGCTTTTCATTTCTTTTAGCCTACAACCAGCCACTTCACTATAAATACAGAAAATTGGTGGAGACCACTGCACTACAGTTTGGTTGGCATCCAAATTGTCATCACTAAGACCAAGCCATTATTTTCTTTATACTTTCAATATAACTTCCTTACCTGAACTAGAGAAATTGGCTAGATAAAGGCCACTCTACAGGGAACCGTATGCATTTCCTGACCAAAGAATTTACTCATTCTGCAGTTCTTTCTCAAACAAGATGACTTCCCAGCCATAATTTGAAGTCCTGCTTGAAAGTGGAGGAGGAGAAAATATTACCTGAGAAAATTCAGCCTGAAGCGTAGCAGTGAGTTCGTGCCCCCTCATTTCACAGCCTCAGCAAAAACGTGTGCACAGCCAGTACACAAGAGGTAAGGCCCTTTCATGCATATATCTTATATGTTGAGTTAGACAAGAAGTACCTTTCTAGCAAGGCAATAACTCTTAAGTAGCATTCCTTTACAAATTCATCCCCAATGTAAATGACAGTATACCAGACTTAGTAGTTGTGTCCACTTACTGTAGCAGTGAGTACGATTGCTGGGCTGTTACTTCTCACACTCTGTAATAAGGAAGTCATGTTGTTTGTATTTAATGTAATTTAACTATTATTTGCAAAACTCCAGACTTATTAAACAAATACATGATTTAAACACAGTGAGATGAAGCTGGTAGTGAAAAAATCCTTGAAAGTACTGGCACAGGGTTAAATGCTGTTCCAAATCTCAAAACATTTGTTTCATTTGTCTACCAAACCTAGAACAAAATCAAATGTTTTGGTCAACACAAGTTTTCTTTCTTACTTTTCCAAACCAAAACTTTCCAAACATTTAATTTCATATCAAATAAAAGAAACTTTTGTTTTAATTTCTTAGCTGGTATTGAGCTCAATGTTGTCTTGGTACAATGTTTCATAGTGAAAAACTTAAACTATTTGAAAATGCTGGCACAAAATACTGTAACATTTCTTACCCATCCTGTCTTTTTTTTCTTCTACCCAGAACTATTTATTGAATTTAACCTGACCGCAATGAACACTTGTTCAGATGAGACTGCGTTTATTTTGAATAAATAAATATTTGTCTAGAGTAAAGCCAAGATCTGGGCCTTAGAAAATAAGCTCTAGGATGCCTAGAGAAATCAGAGGGGGAAAACCCAACCTCGATATAGTTGAAATACTGTACCAGTATTGATATAACATTAAAAATGTCAGTCATTTTACTAAGACCAAACGTTTTCTCTTAATCAGTGTTGCCGAGTTTCAGGTTTGGGTCAGAAGCGCTGTGCAGAACTGCCTGGCGCAGAGTAGCCAGAGGAGTGTAGTGCTGTAGTGTGTGGTGCCACCTACAGATGATCTACTCACACGACATGAAAGAAAACCAGGAAAGATGTAGTTCGAAGGTCAAAGCTTAACAGATCAGATAGGTGCCATAAACCAGTTGATTAATCATCACAATTTATCCCCAAAGAAAGACACCCACACATGACAGCATCTTCAACTGAACAATCCTCATGGCTTGAATCTACCTGTGAGAAACTGATGGTCTGTCCCTGTGACACAGCCTGTGGGATTAGCATCTAACCTTCAGGAATGCAGGAACATGTTAAAAGAGCTGGTTCCATTATCACATTTCCTCTAACCTGACCGACTAGGATGAGTTTCTGAATTGGCACAATACCCATGTTTGTTCTGCAGAAGTGTTACTGGTACAAGGATGTTCATATGCAGAATCTCTCTTGTGCAGTCTGTCTCCTCGTAAATGCCATCCTTGGTAAATCTCATTTCCTAGATTCACTGCCTTCAGGTGGGCAGGAATTACTGGATCACTAGGGAGGAAAAGTATCTTACAGAAAAAAACAAAGACACACACAAACCAAAACCACATCAGCACCCTTATAGTGAGCAACAAATCACCTGGAGCCACTTACTTCATCCACCTGGGCTTGTGTCCGCTGCAGCCGTTTGGTAGCAGGAGGTGGCCCTGTAGCTCCAGCACTGGTGGGACCTTGGGTAGGAGCTGGAGCAGACCTAGATCAAAACCAGAGAACACAAAAAGTGACTGAAACCATCTTCACTTGTGTACTACCCCTTTTCAGGAACAAGTCAAAAGTACCTGTCTCATAAAAGGAGTTTTCCATTGTCTCACAGCCCACTAATGAGACATTTCCATTCCTAGGGTCCCATTTCCTCCCATACTGCAATTTTTCACCCTGTTTTTTGATAGGACCACATCAAACTCTTCCCCTCCCATGCTGCCTTTTAAACATCAAGCATTTCAAGTTATCTACCCTGAATTAAGCTAATGGCCAAACTGATCACAGGCCAGACTAGCAGGGCAGAGTTTACGTCCTGCTAAGGAAACAGACTCTCCTTTGGGTATTTTGTGTTGATCTGTAGGGGCCAGGTCTGTGACCCTGCCTTCCTCCGCAGTGTGCTGAGTGACGCACTCCCCAGCTCCTTGGTGTTTGGCTGGAAGATAACCAAACGAAGATGAACAAAAGGAGAGGAGAAAGAAATGGAGGAGGAAGTGGGGGTGAGAACTACAAACAGCATGGGGTTAGTCATCTCAGGCATTCAGCCAATGGTTAACCACCCCACCTGCGGTCACCAAATGCCCCACTAGAGCAGCTGGCCAGGCTCAAACATCAGCCACGGACCCTGGACGAATATTTGCAGCAATACTGTGAACAGAGCCCTGATGTCATCCTCATCAGCCCTTTTCTTAAGCATCAACACTGGCTTTCCCCAGCCTGCTCATAGACAAAAGGCAAAACAAAAGTCCCTTAAAATCCAGCAACAGATCCAGTCTGTCGCAGTGCATGAGCTTGTACAGAAAACTCACCCTGCAGCCAGAACAAGGTCCCTCAATCTTAGGCAATCATTCTTCACACCCACACTTTAACCTGTGAAACCTTTCCTTTCAAGGGACCCCTATCACTACTTCCTGCAGAGAAATAAACCCCTTCCTGAAGCTGCAAAGGAAATCCCTAAGCATGTGAACTGAAAAGTATCACAAATCCCACTCATGCATTACCAAAGCCTTCCCACAGTGACAGACTGAAAGAACACAGCATTTCTCTGTGAATCATTCCCTTTGACATTCTGGGGTCTGGTTAATGCTGCTGAAATTATGGCCTCATTAATACTATTGAAGCACCATGGAGCACTAAAGTTAGTTCCACAAAGGTATCTTAAGCTGCAAAATTCAGTTTGGCAGTATCCCCTGTGGGCCAGGATCTCTACGGATAGTGCAGACCCCCACAGACTCCCAGTGATCATAGAATGGTTTGGGTTGGAAAGGACCTTAAAGCTCATCCAGTTCCAACCCCCTGCCAGAGGCAGGGACCCCTTCCACTAGAGCAGGTTGCTCCAAGCCCCTGTGTCCAACCTGGCCTTGAACACTGCCAGGGATTGGGCAGCCACAGCTTCTCTGGACAACCTGTGCCAGTGTCTCACGACTCTCAGAGGGGAGAATTTCTGCCTAATATAAAAAATAAATCTCCTCTCTGTCAGTTTAAAGCCATTCCTCCTTGTCCTGTCACTATGGGCCCTTGTCCAAAGCCCCTCCCCAGGTTTTTTGTAGCCCCTTTAGGCACTGGAGGTGCTCTAAGTTCTCCCTGAATCCTTCTCTTCCCCAGGGTGAACCAGCCCAGCTCTCTCAGCCTGTCTCCAGAGCAGAGCTGCTTCAGCCTTTGGAGCATCTCCATGGCCTCCTCTGTACTCACTAACAGCTCCATGTCCCTCTTGTGTTCTTGCCCCAGAGCTGGATCAGGACTGCAGGGGTGGGGGTGGGGGTGTCTCACCAGAGCACAGTAGATGGGGAGAATCCCCTCCCTCGACCTGCTGCCCACACTGCTGGAGGATGTAGCCCAGGACACAGGTGGTTTCCTGGCTCAAGTGCACAGTGCGGGGTCATGAAGAGCTTCTCATCACCAAGTCATAGAATCAAATAGGTTGGAAAAGACCCTCAAGATCATCAAGCCCAACCTTTACCCCAGGTCTGCCACTAACCCATGTCACTAAGGGCCTCATCTATTAATTTTATGAACACTTCCAGGGATGGTGACTCCACCACTTCCCCAGGCATCTGTTTCGTGAAGAAATATTTCCTAACATCCAGTCTAAACTTCCCCTGGAGCAACTTGAGGCCATTACTTCTTGTCCTATCACTTCTACTTGGGAAGGGATCTCCTTTCTCCATCACTTCAGGTAGTTGTAGAGAGCGATAAGGTCCCCCCTGATCCTTCTCCAGACTAAACACCCCCGGGTCCCTCAGCCCTTCTCCTCAGGGCTGCTCCATCCAGTCTCTGCCCAGCCTGTGTTTGTGCTTGGAATTGCCCCGACCCATGTGCAGGACCTTGCACTTGGCCTTGTTGAACTTTTTTGCATGGTCCAACCCCTCCAGCCTGTCCAGGTCCCTCTGGATCCCATCCCTTCCCTCCAGTATGCCGACCATGCCACACAGCTTGGTGGTGTCAGCAAACTTGCTGAGGGTTTGTGATGGAGCAGCTGTCTGCAGACACAGAGCACTGCTGTATCTTACACTTCTTTTTTAACTGTAGCTAAGAATGTCATTATCAAGCTTTAGTTGAAATAAAAATACCTGAGCTATATACAAATTGCTCATCCTTTGAGGACCTCACAGCCCCCGTGAAAAAAACACAAAAGACCAGATGCTGCTGCCACCTGCAATGGAATTACTCCAGTGAAGGGCCATGGGCCAGGATCCCAACAGGATTTATTCTGAGTTTACACTATTTTCACAAAAGATCAAAATTTGACTATAACATAGATCAGACTCAAATAATGCAAAACAAGATGTCTCTGGAGCATTAACAACTTCAGAGGGAGTTCCTGGTACAACAGCAGAACTAAAATTGAAATTGTAACATTTATTTGCAATAAACAAGCTTTTTCCCATCCAACACAGCAGATTTTTTTCTATGAAAACATTGTGTCACACTGTTCACTACTACAAATGTTAAACAGACCTCCCTTCTTCACCAATGTGCTGTTAGCATCCCAGACTACAGAAGGGAAGCACGTGAGAAATGTTTTTCCTGGGCGCTCGTGTTTTTGCTTGTAGGCATAGCTTATAAGTGCAGTGGTGTTCATTGGTCACAGCTGTGTGATAAAAAGTTCAGTGCTCTGCCACACCCCTTTCCTGCCCAGTAATTTTAATCTTTTATTTTTTGCACCTCCCAAGCTGTCCTTAAAATGATTTGGCACAAAGTAGGTACTTCGCAGTTTGTTCTCTTTCAGCATCCTTGCTGTCACCTAATTTGGTTTCAGCTGTATTTCTTGGGGCTTCTCTGCTCCCTGTGTAATGGAGGAATGGATTGGAAAACTTGGTGCTTGTACAGCTGCCCTGACCATCCAGCAGGAGTTACTGTAACTACCAAAGAGAAATGGCTATCTTAATGCTAAGGCACAGCAAGCTTGTAATTAACATACCCATCTGAATTAATTACGTAAAATCTAATAGAAGAGAAACCAGAGCTGGGTGCTGACTGCAGTGCAGAGCTACTTTTTTCTCTGGAGTTGTGCTCTTCTTACACAGCAACAGCAACTGCCTCGCTCACAGCCTTGGGGGTCAGAGAAATGAAGAGTGCTCATCAGAAAAGGTGCAGGACGTACCGCAGAGGAGCCAGCACAAGTTCAAGGAAGTCTGGCCTTAAGCATGTGGCTTTAATGCCACCAGCAGCTGTTGCAGGTCAACAAGGAATGAGCCCTCTCTTGTCATGAGACAGTATGTAATATCCAAAATAGGCAAAACGAGCACAAAGATACCTGCATCACCGCTTCTCCCAAACTCCCAAGGCACTTCAGGTCAGAACAGAGGGGTCTCCATGCTTCTGGCTCAGCCCTACCAGTGTTTGAACGCAGTAGAAGCATCCCGGCTGGGCAGCAGCAGAAGGCAGTACCTCGGTGAGCTAATGTGGCTCCAGTTCCACAACGCATCTGTTAAGAGCTTGTCTTTGAACCTGAGTTTTCTAGTAAAGAAGGGAATTGAATCCCTGGAAAACACCAATATTCACTGGGATATCTTAGTGCAAAAATGCTAGAATGAAAGTCCAGCCTACATTTACATAATTCTGTTATTGCCTCTGTACTGTGCCATCTCATCTTATAATTTCTCAGAAGAATTATTCAAAGAAACCTATGCAAAACATTGGCACTATTTTAGAGAGACTTGCTTTTGAAATACTTGAAGCATTACAACTTTAAAGTCCAATTTCTCATGGCCTGACACTATTTTGAGGAGCTACACAAGAATGCAAAATCCATATAAAAGCTCCGTCACTGGGCCCCTACACATCAGGCCCATAGACTTGTGCACTTTCATTTAGGGTTTCTTTTTTTTCAGCAAGAGGAAAAAAGTTACCATTTATGGTGAGAATCTTTACTCCCAAGAACAAGTCAAATTAATTTTGGCAGGGCAACAAAGATCTATTAGTGTTAGTGAAAAAGGGTATAAATCCCTAGCAAATAGTCTTTGGGGGACACTCTGGGAGAGTGACGAGTACACTTACTTCAGGACAACTGTATGACACGCTTAGAGTCTGGGCAGTTGGGTCACTCTGTGTAACATGAGTTATAACCTCACTCCCCTCCATGCCTGATTTTGCTTCATTTCACACACGAGCAATCTGGCTGACTGACAGCAGGAGCTGGATCTCTGTATGTACGCAGCCGCTTCAGAAGAAACCTTTGGGACTGTCCTAGTGATTCAGTAAAATAGTCTCAGCTGACTCACGCGTTCTCAGTTCTTCTGGTTACTTGCTGGGCCTGAAACTGGCAGGTCAAAATCATAACTAAGATTTGTTATCTCACCTGGATATTTTGGAAGCAATTTACTATTTAGCTCTAATGGTTAAAGGGACCTGAAACTCTAAGAGATAGCTGGAGAGACCCAGTTTCCCATTTCAGCGCCGGCTGAAAGAACATTAAGAATGACTGTGTATCTAACGTTTTAGGAAGCTGCCTGACACACTTCCATTTTTGTTCATGTGTGTGAGCTATGTAGG